CTGCTGCTGCTGCTGCTGCTGCTGCTGCTGCTGATGCTACGGACACACCCACCGTCTTCGGGGTACGCCGAGTTGTGGAGCGTCTCCCGCCAGCCCACACACTCGGCCGCGCTGTAGCGGAGAGCATGCGCCTGGAGACCGACCTTCCCAAGGTGAACTGCATTGAAAAAAAAGCCGGGTCCCGTCGTACGTATACCAGCCCAGACGGGGCTCAAGTGCATGACGTACCGGCCGACGGGGATTGTGGATACCACGCTATACACGGTGCTTTGCAGCGAGTTTTGGGCGTCACCCGAGCACCGCGTGACGGTGCTGCCGTGAAGAGTACGCTCAAGGTCCGCATCGTTGAGTACATCCTGGGAGCGCATGCATCAACAGAGGGTATCTCTTCGTTACTTTCGCCCGACCAGCTAGATCGGGCTCGCGCCTTGGGTTGCACAGAAGTGTTGAACATGATAACGCGAGATGTAGAGAAAAATGAACGAGAGCCCCGTCTGGGCTGGTATACCTACGACGGGACCCGTTNAAGCGAACAAAAAAAGGTTCATCCCACACCTGCTGGCTGAGGTCTGCTGGAGCTGGTCTGCTGCTACAGCAGCTGAAAGAGGTAGTCTGCGAGAGTGGAACTCCCTCCCCGTGTTTTTTCTGCGGAGGGATTCAGCTCTCTGGTGTCCCCGGCTCGCGGGCGGCCACCGTTTCGCGCGAGCTATTCGCCCTTTCGAGCCCTCATTTTCAGTGCAGATTTCAAAAACAAATTGTGCGACAGGAAGAGGAGCAGCACTCTGACCGACACTCAGGAGGCGTGTAGTCCCAAAAGGGTTAATAGGATTCAAGGAATGAATTCCTGCGGGGAACAATGGATGCAGTGAGAAAGCTGAAGGTCAAATTCAGGACCGGGGACTACGGCCTTCGAGAACGTAGACGAAGATTTAAGAAGGTACATTAGACGATGAAGACGATAAGTTAAAATGTCAATGCGGCTCCGAGTGCGAAGACCGTGTTCATGTCGTTGCGGAGTATTCGTTGTACAACAAGAGGAGGGGGAAGTGCACGTGACTGAGCTGGGAAAAGTATAAGGAAAATGCAGGGAGATGTTTGAGGCATGGAATAGACAGGAGAAGACGGTAGCTGTAGTGGGGCATAGGCAGCGGGAAGTGATATCGATAGGAAGGATAGGCTAGGTGAGACATTTTTGAGCCACCTTTGGCAATCAATGTAGGAAGGAACGATTGGCCATCGGTGATCGGTCCTGTGGGAACAATGCTCCGTCCTCTCGAGGACGCGTGGTCAATGGTCTAACCGCTTAGACATCCAAAACATAAGTGTACGCCCCGCCGCTACGGATCCCGCTGAGAGGACGTTGTGCCATGTAATGTAGTATATTTGACCGAAGGTGAAGCCTCTCTATGTTCCAACGCTTCCAGGCTATCGTGCCGTGTTGCTGCAAACTAATCTGAAAATCCACAAAAAACAAACCAAAGCAATCAAATGTCAGAAAATGGAGCACACCACAACAACAGGCACTGCCTGGAACCACAACTAATTCTCGGCGCATACGCAGCCGGAGTCACAAAACACATGGTATGATACATCACACATCTACGGGCGCGCTCCAAACACTGTTCGACCTCGTCGCGATGATGGCGAACGTTACGATACACCTGCGGTTTAAACTCGAAGGCGCTTCTGGCCTAACAAGTCGATCGCAGCCACTCCCACCCAGCCCCAAACAACGCTGTACAAGTGGGCTGTCGATATTACTACATCTCTGCGGGCGGGCTCGGCTGCGCGTTTCGAGGCATACATACGCATGCCCCCGGCAAATGACCGCACTGTGTACCCCCCCCCCGCGCTCACCCCTGCCGACTGCCACACAAAAGAACTAATCGAAGGATCCTGGCCTGTCAGTCACACCACCACCCTTTACCTGCAACGCACTACCACTAGTTTTCTTCTTCGAATCCCCTCACGTGCCGCAGCCCAGAAGCTGCCGCCACCACACGGCTCTCCATTTCGCTTTTTCGTTGCCCCTAGGCTTGACAAGCGAGACGTACGGCACGACGAGGAAAACACCAACTCAACCACAGTCCGACGCCTTGATCAAACAAAATAATTGACCCCGTTCTAATCTCCGGCTCCGTCCTTGTCTGCCCCACGCCCCCAGGCGGCGTGGCACGCCCACCATGCCGTGCGAGTCTCCGCTCACCGGCATTTCCTTCTCCAACTGCTAAATAGTTCACACACAAGTTTCGATACCACTCGGTCGCACACCCCCAAGCAACTATCGATCCCACTCTCCGCGCGCGTTGGTACGACGCGTGTCACATCATACCCGGCTCATTGCCGGTGCTGGTACTGTCGCTGCTCGAGGGCAGGTCTGCGTGGAACTGATCTCTCTCGCCGCTGCCGTTTCTGCCTCGGCTTCGGCTGAAGGGTGCCCCCAACATGCAGCACATGATCCCAGAGTCTGGGGGGGGGGGGAAACCACGGCCGACAAAACAGCGAACACGACCACGCGTAGTCGACAGGAGGGGCGGGGTAGGGTGAGGTTTGAGAGAATCCAACAAGCAAATGAGTGTTCAACCACTAGGGCTACTGGGTGGATATGAGATCTATACTGCTGTAGGCCAACGAAAACAAGCGCAGGCAACTCGAATTGGTCAAGCAAAGGCGGAACCCCATCAGTGCACGTGCACGGCACGTGGCCGTTACATTTCGGTATACACCACTTCTTGTATTTACCACACCGTCGCAATTTCTTTTAAAGACAAGGAGATATGGAATCTCTCGGATGAACTCGCTTGTGTCGAGCTCTTTCTCTCCCTCCCGTATCACATCACCCCCCCTCCTCCCCTTGCCCGCCATCCCTGCCTCTCGATGTCTCCCTCGACATGTCGCATGGCAAGTGGGATGTCAACATTACAACAAACCGTTATGCTTCTGTCCGTACTCACAGCAAACGGCCAGGAGACACGACAGGAACCCGATGATCACCACCAGCAGCGTCCAGTGCCGCAGCAAGGCTGGGGAAAAAAGCAAAAGCGAACAAACCACGATCGACGAATGAATGGAACAGAGAAACAGACCCGATGCAACGGATCACGCGTTAGTTAGGCAGCATGTACTTTATTCGGAGCACGGTTTGGGTTTGTTCGAGAACTAACTCGCACGCTAGCTTTGGTCGAAGAACCAGGCTGCGTGGCAGGGTGGCACGGCTTCCAAAAAAGACCAGAGGCCGGGGTGAGGACAAAAACCTATCGATGACAACCAAGCGTTTGTGATCACAGCCACGCGAGTTTGCCTCCAGACAGCAGTCAAACAGAGCACCCCCCTGACGATAAAAGGTCAAACGACCAAGCAAAAACCTAAACAAACACACCATACGCACGTCATACTTGCGCACGAAAAACTCACGTGAACACATTCGATTGCCAGTGAAGAGACGGAAGTACAGCGCCGCCCCTACGACGCTCCAGCCCGCGAGAAACCATTGGCTTACCACCAGGATGAAGAAAATCGTGTCCGGAAACACCTGAGAGCGTTTGGTTTTGGGGCGGCCAGCGCGTTACGGCGTGCGTAGTACCTCAAACGAACGGGTAGCTTTGAGAAAAGAATACCAAAAAAACTACATAAAAAACATATCGCGGTTGAGCACAAAAAACAGCAGCTGTGTCGGCGCTGCCGCGCGAGAGTAATGCTGTTGGGCAAAGGAACCATCAGCAGGTAAAGAGTTGAAACATAAAGAGGATCTGACCGAGTACGATGGCGGCTACAGCACGAAGTGGGACATAACCGATCAGGTCCCAAAACATGCAGCAACTGCAGCAAAACAACAGTGACATCGACAATAACAACAATCGCCTCCAACACCAACACCGCCCACGACAAGCATATAAACACCAGAACGACTTAACTCAAAACAACGACAACGGGCTACCGTGGATACTCCGCCGCCAACTGCTCCATTTGTTCTTTTTAACACAGGCAACCAAGGCGCACCCAAACAAACCTAAAAATACATAATCGAGAACCCAGCCCATAAATTCAAGCAAAGCATTGACCAATGACGTACACGAACCACTTTTATGATTTCATCTAGTCCCATGTCTGCGCACTGTTTCGAGACCCTGCTTCTTTATACCGCACCGCTCTTATTGGTTGTTACGTCCGTCTGGCTGTTCGCACACAGCGTACAAGTAGATCCACGCTTCGGACTGCCTCAAGTACCAAGCTGAAGACAAATCAGGTGCATGTAGCTCGCACAGACGATCATTTTCGCGTTAACAGCAAAAACAATGAGAACCACCAGGCCTGCAGAAATGACGCGCAACACGGAAGACAACAGCATACCTTAGGCCCTGGTCCGAAATATCGGTGCTGGAGCGACGACGACTGTGCCGCCAGTCGGTGCGAGATAGTGCTAGGAACCCCCCTGCATGTTGTTTTCATACCGGCAAGGTGAGGCGAGGATCCGCCATCCGGCAAGACCCCAAGGAAGACGACGACAACATAACGGCCGTAGCACGGCAAGAGGCGGGAGAGAACAAAGGAGAGCACGCGGTAGGAACGGACGGCGGTTTTTGTTAGCCACGAAAGTCACGCAGCAAGTCACGCAGCAAGTCACGCAGCAAGTCAAAACACAACCAAGCACAGAGGGGAGAAAACGTTGTCGGCCGACCCGATATCGTACCCGATGGAAATGTTCCAAAACGAAACGATACAAAAACGATGTACAGGACCGACCGTTTGTGTTCGCAAATTACCTTGAGGCCGAACTACAACCCGAAAACAAGTACTGCATGCACTCAAAAGGCCCCCTTTTAAGCTGTTACACAGCTCGTGTACAGTACGCCGAACCCGTGGCAGCCTGACATGCCGCAACAAACACGTGGGACATCCAAAATAATCAATATGCGGGAATCCGACGTTCTTCCGACTGCAGGGCAAGCGAGCGCGCAAGTTTTGCCAACCAGCAGCAGTGCAAGGGCAGCAACTCAGCATGGGCGGAGTGCCGCCATACAATACGGATTGGAAGTCTTGTCGATGGGTTACCCGTCCGCAACAAGTAATAAGAGAAACGCCAACACTCACGATACGATCGATTCGTCCCCCATCGAATCCCGCCGCTCCTCTCCCCCGGCCATTCCCCCCCCGTTAACCCGCTTCCCCCCGTCTCCGCCGCCTTCCTCCATCTTGAACGGCGGCGTTATCCTGATGTCACTACCATTGCCATTGGTATGCTCTGGTCCCATCTCCGGCGGCGAAGCTCGCCCGCCCGTGCCCCCCGCGGCGCTGCTAACGCTTACGTTGATGCTGTCGTCGTCGACTCCCCAGGCGTCGTCGTCTAGGAAGCGCGACGGTCGGGTGCCGTCCCCTCTGCCGTGGAAGGTCGCGCCCAGCATGCTACAAATGGCGGTCACGCACACCGTGGTGAGGAGCCACGTCCTCAGGCCCCCGTCGCATTCCTGTGCGGTGCGGTGCGGTGCGGTGCGGTGCGGTACGGTGCGGTACGGCCGTGGGACGCGGGACGGACTCGTGAGACTTACCAATACCCAATGCTCTTGTACCTTGTTTGGAGTTTTCTTTAGAAAACAACAAACAGATGCATGTTGCCTAAAGACCGACTGTACACAGATTCGCAATGTTTTCTTTTTCGTTTTCACTGGGCTCTTGGAGCCAAGAGGAGCCAAAATACGTCAGCCGTGCGCGCTGTTGAGCTTGGGAAATAGGACAGATTGGCACTTGGCACCCAGCCATGGGTTGGTCCTGCTGCCTGCTGCTATTTTCATCTTGCACCACCCCTGGATGACACTGCTTTGCTCTCATGAGCCTAATCAGGAGGGATCCCTGGTTAGCAGCCTTGGCGAGGATATTGTTTAAACTTGGTTTTAGCATGAGGTACGTTGGGGGTTCCGGTTAGGGTTAGGGATATGAACGAACCCCTCATCTCTATTTCACGAAGGCGGTCCTCCCTGGCATAGGCTATTTGTTGCAATCCTGTCGATCCCCAAGGTTGTTGATAGATAATCTCGGCGGGGGGGGAGGGGAGGGGAGTACGTCGAGTACGTTCGTTGGTCCAAACCGCAGAGGCAGGCGACAACAAAATCACCAGCGGGAATAGCCTGATAGCGTTTGTTTTACTCCTCTACTCTGCAGCATACTGCCGAAGAAGTTATGCGGCGTACTTGGAGGTGCCGTATACTGCTGTACCTGTGCTGTGTGATGGTGCCGTTATTTCCCGTGGTTATGGTTGGCGTAGTCGGTATAGACTCTATGGTAGACGTCATGATGGCGATGCAGGAATTCCGCCGCGTCACTTGCCAATCAATTATGAAGCAGTTGAGTTGAGTTGTGATGCGGCTGGTTTTGGTTCGCCGATAGACTCTGGGCTGCATGGCGTTTGCGCAAGCCGTTGACGAGGTAAGCAGATAGCTTGAAACGAAGAAGAGAGAGCGCAACAGAAACCAGGCAAACCAAAGGAGACAACCTGCATCTGTGACCGGCGGTGTAGTTCCGACCTGGTGGGAAGGAGAAAAGGGGATAAGAGAGATGGTAACTAATTACACTGGGAGTGTGGTGTCGCTGCGAGTCCGAGTGCAGGCTAAATAGATATTTGAGTCCTGGGCAGCTGGTGCGGGCTGCCGTACAGAAAAAAACGAGAAGAATTACGATGCAAAGAGAAAAACAGTCGATGTGCGAGAATCTGCCATGATATTTACGCAAGATCTAGTCCATCTCTTCAAGTTTCTCGTAAGACGAGACAACAACTAAAAATTATTCGAGAGATATGTCCGTGCTCATCCATGGTGCGAGCGAAAACATTAAACCACAAGAATCGCATCTATCTCCGCCCACGCGGGCAACCACCCTGTGATGTTCTGACTCTGTCCGTCGGCCGTTTTTTTTTTTCACAGGAAGATCTGTGTTATGTACGCACCACCGACAACGGCTTGCTGGCCTAGGATTGCCGAGCGCATCGATCACCCCCCCTCCTTGCCTTATTCCACTGAAGACCCAACACGACCGAGGAGGACACCAGCAGGAGAACCAGCGCCGCCCATGACCCTACGCCCGTATCCATCCCCCTCCGCGCCATGCTCTCTCGCGCGAAGCAAGGGCCGCCGGCCGCCGCCTCGGCAAGCGCCCGTTGCCGCGGAGTGAGTGACCTGAAAAACAGAAGCCGTTTGTGGAAGTGATAAGGCCGTCTCTTTCTGACATTTGAACACAGAGCAGTACCAGCAGTGCATCTATCAGCAGCGCCAATGTGGAGACGTCAGGCCCGCCAAGGACAACACCCTGCCTACAGCAGTAGTTGTAAAGGAAGAGCTTACCTCTGGAGCAAATATAACAAAAAGCGCCGCTCTCGTTTTTCTCTCGGTTCTCAAAAAGAAGAGAAACTTCGCAGCAGTTGCGATCGGTCCCAGCAGGGCTCCGCAGACCTTTTGACGAAGTAGACAAGTAGATGTGCGTGCAATTAGACACCGCTTCAGAAAAACGAACGCCCTCGGTCCAGGCTCCGTTGGGAGCTTAATGGGCAGGGGTCACTCTACAACGAATTTAATTATGTTTGATGTCTGTCGCACACACAACCATTTTTCTCTCGGGTCCCCCCGCTATCTGTGACCCCCCCCCCCCCTATGGGCGCGGCACATACGTAGTCCGCGAACTCTGTCGCAACACACTATCCCTGCCTCTCTGTCTGCTGTGCCAGGGCGCGGAGAAGAGGCACCCCGATGCTATTTTCTGGCAGAGACGTCCTGAGAGTCTGTACGTCGTCGAGCCTCATCCTGCAACAATCCAACGGCTGGAGAACAACAATAATTGCGCCGCCACCACGAGTAGCGGTGATAGGTCGATATCTTACGTCAGCTAATCGTAGATCCATTCTACCAGCGGAAGAAGGAGGCAGAGGGGGAGAAGGGCGCCCAGGTTATCTCCCAAAGGCCAGCTGCCGTGTCTCTATGGGTCCTATACATGGCTCGGCAGCTGTTGGCGCCAAGGTGGAAAGCATCCGAACCGCGCTCCGGGAACAACACGATCATCCCGCTCATGGGTTGCAGGTGCAGAGGCGGTGGGGACTTTTCCGACATATACTTCCACTCACGCACAGTAGTGCTCTGCGAGTCAGTGCAGGATGACCCAAGCTGCCACCAACAAGGCTCGTCTCTCTCTCGCCGTTATATCGGCCTCTATATCCCCATGTGCCCCCTTGCCCCTCTCTCCCTTACCCTTCTTTTGGACTGCCATTCAATTATGAGTTCCTTTATGGAGCATCTGACAATGACAGGAGTGTGAAAAGATGCAGCAGCGGTGGTTACAGGTTTGAAACCTTTTGGTCGCTGCCGACTTGTTCTTGATGCCACTTAGGTGGAACAGCAGGATACGGTGAACATTGCTGTTCGTGTTTCGTCGTCGTTGAATGATTTGTTCCTCCTCGCTCTGTCCTCACCGTTGCTCCGATCACAACAAGGTCCAGCAACAGTGTCCCTGCCTGCTGTCCACACCTTCGACAAACATACCGTGTATTGCACAAGACAACACAACGCCTGGACCAATTTTCAAAGCTCGATAACACCACGACGAAGAGGATGCATAAATGGAACGATACATTTTCGGAAAGCTCTCGACAAGACAGCTTCAACGCCACCGTTTTCGGCGCTATGACTCTTTCTGCTGTCAAGAAATCGAGAGTTGAAAATCGGTCCAAGGGGTGTGTTATCTGGTGTCATTTGCGGGATGTTCTGCGCCCCTCTCTGCGAGCGCTTCTTTGCCTCACGCGATTCGCCTGTCATCGTTTCCCGTGTTTCCGATCTGGCCGCCATACGCCCGCCACATGACCGATGCCGCAGGTCATCATGGATTTCGACCTGACCATGACGGCACCAGGGTCGGAGCAATGCCATCACATGTTTGAGACGTGAGGAGAGAATGAGACAACAACAACGACAGTATTGAGAGAATAGGTCACAACTTGTGTTGGCGAATGTACCATGGTAGGTATTCCATGCTCAGTAAAAAGTGGAGACACTAGCGCATATGCTGCACATGGATCCCTCGGCGGTACTCTGCAATGTCGACAAGAAAAAATGAAACCGTCAGTTTCCCGCAGGTTACCTGTTGCCCGAAAGATAACAACGCCTCGCAGCGGGACATGTCCCGCCGACTACTTCGGGCAGGGTCGGCATGCCAAGGCTTCGCAGCACCAGAGAGACCTTGACGAGATGTTGGCGTGAAAAATGGTCGTTCGGCATTTCGTATCCAACCTCCCCGTTGTTGTCTTGAAAAAGCCCCTGCCGGCGGTGATAACTGGCGTACTCCTGGAGGTAGCAAAAGGGGGCATGGTGGTGGCGGACGGAGCCGAGTACACACACCCAATGAACGGTTTGCTCTTCTTTACGAAGCACATGTGTGTCTGGCTTGACAGGTCGCCAGCCCTCCCGGAAAAGCTGAGGAGGAGACTGGCGCCGTTCTTCACTGGGGAGATCGAGGTGCTCAAGCAGTACATGCTCGCAGTAAGCTCTAGACGGCTCTTTGTGCTCGTTGTGCCTGCCGGAACATCATCAGCTATTAATATGATAGTACATACACACGGTTCGCGACATGTCGCACGGGGCTACTTTCACCATTTGTGCCACGTGGCTCTTCCCGCATGTGTAGCAGTGTTTCGTGGGAAAGTTGATCCCAAACTGCTGTGACAAATTGACTCAACAGTGCTGTGCTGTTAATTGCGTGCCGCTATGTACAGTAGTAGACGTGTTAATCAACAGCCCAGTAGTGTTGAGTCAATTGGTGACAGCAGTTTCGGATGCTCGTTATTTTCGTCTTGCCATGATACTTCCGTTTATCCGTTGGTTGACAGTTTTGGCCTACCCTGCAGTCGTGTTCCCTCAGCGAAAGAATATCCTTGGATCGTGCCATACGCCTAACTACACGGGGAGGAATTGCAAGACAAGTCTTCTGTGGACAAATTGGATATGGGATTAGCTTTGTTTTTATGAGCAAAACAGAAGGGAGCACTTTCCGTCCAATTATTGCACCCGCCAAACAGAGTTTGTCACCAGTTCTTCAAGCCATATCCCGCTGTTATTCGTTGCTAGGTGGGCAAGGCAAGGGCGTGATTTAAAACGCATCCCATCGTTTTCTCTTTGTACCTATGAGCAACCTGTTTTTGTGCGTTGAGCTCGGATTCATGCGCGATGTATTCGAAACCTTCGTCTGCCGGGTAATGCAATACCGTCTCTGCCGCCGTGTTGCCTCTCTCTGTCGCAGTAGCTAACTACACGAGAGGCATGGTGGGAAGGGTTTCACGATGTGCTGATAGACGCGAAAGTGACCAAGGAGCAGGTTGCGGCCGTTGCCGGTGGGGCCGATCTAGCCCTGAGAGATGGAACGGCCGAGCTGATGTTGCTGCTGCGGGAGCGTGGGGTGAGACACACACAGGGAGGAACGGACGGACGGACGGACAGACGGACGGACGGAGGGGGAGAGAGAGGCAAACAGACAGACAGAGGGAGACACAGAGAGAAAGAGAGACAGTCGGACAAAGAGACAGAGAGAGATTCGCCAGGCGGTAGCCTTGGAATCGTAGACAAGAGTATGACGCGAACGTCGACCAACCAAGAATGCTATGCTGTTTTATCATTGGCGCTGTGGTTGGAACACTTGGACGCACGACAAGGTGTTGGGAAACAGATCGTCAAAAACATCTCCCACACAGGCTGAGACCACTTACCCCCCACTCCCAAACATTCCTGATCTGTCTCTACATGAACCTTCCCTTGCCTTCGTGGGGCTATCTGCCGGACTCCGACATGTGTGTCCGGGGGCGCATTTTCATGGAAACAAACGTGCTCAGGTGCCGTTGCTGGTAGTATCCGCCGGGATTACCGATATAGTGGCGGAAACCTTGAGCAGGAACGGCTTGCTGCTGGACAACGTCACGGTGCGAGCGAATACCATGCACTTCGGCGAAGACGGCAAGCTGGAACGGTTCCGAGAGTCCACGCCCGTTCATTCGAGGCAAGCAAGCAGAGATCACCTCTCACTCCTGTCCCGGTTCTCTTCGAATTGCACTCGTCACTCAGTACCTAGAGCACGTTTTTCTGCTGTTTGCTTTTCGTCGTTTCTGCGTCGGATTGCGGGTGATTTCCCCCAAGCAAGAAGGAGGTGGACGAGTCTTTGGGTCCTGTTCGCCGTTTGTTTCTTCGCTACAGAAATGCCGGCGTCGCGTTCGGCCCCCACCACGCGCAGATAACAGTCCCTGGCGGGCACCAGCCACCCGACCCAAGCAGTGACGCCAGCTGTTCGGCACCTTCATTCGTATCACGTTCGCATTTTGTTCAACCACCCTCTGCCTTAACAGCAGCAAAGCTTTTGACCTCGGTGCTGCTCAGTCACCACCGACGTGAGCTACGGACATCCCTCCTCGGGAGCAGCTACGGCACCGTGTCGGGAAGGCTGCATATGCCTAGCAGTTACGCAACCAAAAGGGCAAGAGCAACAACTTCGTGCCCCCCCCGCCCCTCTCGTTGCTCTCGATCCCTCTGTTCTTTCAGGAACAAAAACAAGACAGCAGAGAGAGAGAAGGCCTACTTCGACTCTAACAGCCACCGCCGGCGGCTGCTGATCGTCGGCGACAAACCGGGAGACGCGGACGTCAACTCGGGCTTCGCGCCAGACGACCAGTGCCTCAAGATCGGCTTCTTCGACCACTCTCATGAGCACCCCCACCCAGACCTTCCCCCGCTGCCTATTCCTACTGCGGTAACCATGTCATCAGCAGCTCCGGTAGCGGCGGCGAGCAACGGCCTAGCCGGCGAGACCACCGCAACCCTAGAGGGGCTCGGTTTCTTGCGCGGGGCAAACAGGCTGGTGCTGCGGACCACACAAAGCACGATGGAAAGCACCGCCGCCGCTGCCGTTCAAGGCAGCGGAGCCTTTCAGCTGTCGACGTCGGCGGAGCAGGAAAGAATACGGGGAAGGCCGGGGAGCCAGGGCGGGGGCGAGATTTTCGTGTCCGAACGGGGGCAGGAGCAGCAGCAGCAGCCTGAGACAACTGCCGTGGTAGAGGAGCTGCTCAGGGCGTACCGCGACCGCTTTGATGTTGTCGCATGCGGGGGCCACTCCATGGACTTGGTCGCAGACTTTGTCCGGCATTTTGTTGGCGCCGGAGGAAACAGCGCAGTGGCTGGCGCTGACGCTGAAGCTACAAGACACGAGGCGCGGCAGAGTGCTTCCCCGCGGAAGCGATGACACGCACACACGGGGTCTCGAATTTTGTTCCGTCATGTCGCTGTTTTTTGGGGGGAGGGTTCATGTCGCTGATGAAATTGTATGCATGCGCTGCGTTCATCATTTTCATGGCGAAAAAAATAATTTCGTGACGAGCTACAGCAGCAGCGTTGGGAGCAAGCAGCTTGTCGCTTTTGGACTATGCACCGTACGGGTGCACCAGACAACGCCAGTGGTTGTTGACCAACACTTCCTTTGCGATGAGGGCGAGAGGCCCCTCGTGACCGTTGCACCCCCAAGTGGATCGCGCGCTCTCCTCCCATGTTTCCGATCAGAAAATAATAACAACGCACTAAAAAAATGAACATTCGAGGCACCCAGTCTTGAGTGAACTCTAAACGCGAACACCTGCACCTACCACTGCTGCTACGTGGGATCGAAACAAACAAATGATATGGCGGGCAAACTGCTGTTGACGTCACACACGCACTGCCAACAAAGGGTGTCAAAATAGGACACGTACATGCCAACAGATGGAGCTCCTCCGTCTCTCCAACAGCCACTCTTGCAACTCATACAACATAGACCCGTCTCACCCAGAGTAGTGATTCCTCTTCACGGGTATAGAACGTGCCGCACGGGCAAGGAATTCCTTGGGGTGGAACAAAAGGTTGAGTGGATCGTTGTTTTGCGGTTTGTCGCCGGCGAAATAATCCGCATCATGTATTCTCTGCTACTCCTCTATCATAGGTCTAAACCTGCGATCGCCCGCCGGCAACCGACCACGCTCTCGCGTGCACTCCAATCGCCAGCGGTAGGTCGGGGGGGGGAGGAGGGGGGGGGCTCAGCGAAAACGAACAGCATCCGTTCAACATCCATCCTGTTTGCTTAAATATCTTAGAGGTCGAGATCGACGATGGCTTGCTGAACTGTCTTGAGCTGGTCCTTCTGGGCCTGTAGGTTTGCCCTGACTTCCTCCACCACCTTCGCCGGCGCCTGCCCACGACGGTTACACGCACACGACGACAACAAGGAATGCATACACAAAGGTGGACACAAAGGACGCCATAGTAGTTGAACGCGACGTTGCATGCCTTCTTGCTGTGGGAAGGTGGTTGTGGGTAGCACTACCTGCTGTGAATGGTACGTACACGTTGTCGCTCAGAGGCCAAATGAAGAACGAGAGTTGGGTGCCTTTGGTGTTTGTGAGTTCTCCCCTACATTGCCGAATCAAGCACCACCTCCAAAGCGGTGAATTCATACACGAAAGGCGGAAAAGTATATCGAAAAACACGGCGTGAGGAAGTCAGACATGGTTTCAGTGTAGGATCAACAAGCGTGGGGATAAGATTAGCATGTGGGTGCCCTTGGTGTTCGTGAGTTATCGCCTACATTGTTGAATCAACCGGTGAAATCATACAGGAAATGCGGGAATATAAAACAAACACGGATCAGCAGGTAAGAAACGGCTTCAGTATAGAATCAGCAACCGTGGGAATATGATTCCCAATGCGTGTGGTACAATCTTCGTTGCGTTGCATACCTGGTCAAACCTGCAGCGAACGGGAATCAAAAGTAGCACTTTTTTTCACACCGAACATCCAGCACCATGCCAGAACGCACCTTTTCTACGAAGTTCGACCCCGACAACCGCTTCTCCAAGACCTCCATATCCTTGGTGAGCTTGCCCGCCTGCTTCTCCAGCCGGGCCCTCTCCTTGTCCTTGTCGACGAGCCCCGCCATCGGAAGGTACACTTCCAGTCCGTCCTGAACAGTTCATTTTCACGCCAAATTAACACCAGCATCAGTGCGAACGGCTGTCGTCCTCGCCAGCTACGCATGCACGAGGCGTACAACCTCCGCGTGCCTTTGTTAAGGTCATGCTGGGGCTAACACGACATGCTTACAAGGTAGCCGACGCGAGATAACTATTGCGTCGGATTCTCCACCAGCAGTGCAAGTGCGGGCACAGTGCATCTGTGGGCGGGGGTTCACTCGTCACCGCCGCGGCACACGGAGTGGCCTACGCACGACATCAACATCTTGATTGAGACCTAACCCTGCCTACGCTACCTCGGCGTTAAGAGAGGTGAGCCTCCTGAAAAAACAACTTCCTCGACGGGGGGGGGTGTACTCAGAGTCGTGCATGCCATAGTCGTTGGACCATAGACCTCGCATCCCTACAGGGCCGGGACGGAGCACGCCGGGTTTTCACCGGACCAGGCTAGCACATCACCAAGCGCGAGGGGGATGGGGGGCGGGGGGGTGTACTCATAGTCGTGCATGCCGTAGTCGTTAGACCATTGACCTCGCATCCCT